ATTTGAAAGCAAATAAATAAGCAACAAGTTCATGTGGAAGCATAAGATATCATCAAACAGTGACCACCATCTCGCTCGTCCTACGTCACCGCCTCTAGCTCGTCTCAACCTAGAACAAAGGAAGAGAGAGAAGACAACAAAGAAAATAATGGGGGTGAGCAACCAACTAGCTCACCATTATCGCACAGTTATCCCGTATAAATATTTTAAAAAAAACAGTATCACAGTAAACAGTATCAGTATGCATAGAATCCAACAATCTAAACCCCCCTACCCGGCCCTATCGCAAACCTCCTATGTACATACAACAAACCTTCCGACCAGACATCGGCAAGGCCGTAACTGGGAAATTTCCCCCACCCCGAACTACTCACGGATCATGGGAGTCCACCCCGAACTAGTCATGGATCATGGATGTTTTCCAGGAGACAGTGGGGATGTTTTTCTCCCCCGAAACACACACGGATCAGGGCGTCTCCTCCCGGATACAACGGGCAGGTGACCTCTCACTGTTATGCATTCGTCAAAGGCACTACCAATAGGATACTTAGACTAGGGTTCTCACGCATACAACATTTTTCAAAAGAAGCATCATACGAAATAAATAGTGCGATAAATATGGAATACATCATAAATGTACCCACCTCGATGCAGCAACAGCTCAAATCACGAATCTCGAAAGTAAGACGAGGCCAACACCTCTAGACACCTACATTAAGTCCAGATACTAAAGTCAACACTTTAATCTAGACCTAGGTAGAAAATTCACAAATTGACTTAGTCGAACTTGATTCGACCAAGTGGTTCGTGAAGTTCTGTGGATATGGAAACTCTAGGACTTCGACTCGATTAAACCACATATTCAAGTTCACATAATCGCAAATGAAAGACAATCACCATGAGTCACAGGTAACTCATAACGAGATGTGATCACCAACACTTAACCAAAAATCACCATATAAAACAATTGTCAAAATTCACACTTGCATTTGAAAGTATATTAAACCAACGAGTTAGGCTCTGAAAATTTTACATAAAATTCATCTCCCAGAATTTAGCAAAAACACCAAGTTTCAGCCTCAAACTCGTTATACTCTATTTTATAAAATTCATACAAGTTTTTCAACAAAAATAAGTCTAAATCAGAAACACAAGTTAATGAACGATTCAGGCCATGAAACTTTTATCTAAGAAACATCAGCATTTGAACAGAAACACATAAAAATATCATCCTTTAACACTCAGTATATGAATTTATAAAATTAAAACAAACTTTCAGCCAATTATCAAATTTATATCAACACTGAACATAACTGAACTCCAAAAATTTCAAAATTTTTACAGCATGCTAAACATCACAAAATCAGCACCTCAACCAAAATTCAGAATTTTTCAGCTTTGGATCAATTTATTACAATTAAAACAAATTTGGGCAGAAACACCAATTAAATTATTAACCCTATCAAACCAAGTCCAAAATTTCTAAAAATTTTGTACAACACATAAATATACCAGAGACATATTATACTAGAAAATCAGCCAAATTGGAGCACCACAAAATTATTTATGCATTTTACAAGAAACTAAACAGAAATCTAATTAATTTTTAAAACTAGCTCTGGACCTTCAAAAATCACGAAACTTGTACACGAGTTACACAATCATCAAATACAGTTGCATCTAAAATTTCAATGCAATCGGACCAGTATTCAATTTATGGTGAATTTTACATTCGAAACAGCAATTATAAACTTCGAAAAATCATAACTACAAATTTACAAGTTCAAACGACACAAGGTCAACGCCATTGTGTTCGTAACGATCCTAAGTCCCTAAATCCACATAAACTAATCACTTACAACGAGTTCTCGTTCGATTCGCACGAATCGACGAATTTTACATGAAATCACGACGATAATATATAATGAACAATCACAACCACATAAATTCATAATCTCGAATGACCACAAAAGGCACGAACAATCACAACATTATTCATGCAAACCTAAACGAGAAGTCGAGACTCGATACCGTTCTCGGGAAAACGAGCGAGAAAGGATCGAATGGGGCTCGACGGCAAAAACGGGACGGCGAACGGCTACAAGCCCGGCGGCTTTGCTCGACTCACGTGGGAGGAAGGCAGCGGTTGTGGCTATGACACGGCGGCGGGGGCTTGCTGCTGCAAGGAAGAGCAACCGACGGAGAGAGCTCGCGACGGCGGTTCTGCGGGCGGCGGAGCTTCGCGAGGATGGCATCATTCGCGGCGTGAGGAGACTTGCAGGCGGGAGGGAAGCGGCTGAGACGGCGGCTCAGGGTCGTCCTTGTCGTGATGGTCGCCGGGAGTTACACGGGCAGAGGGTCGCCAGGCTACTCGTGGTGGCAGGGGGCGCGGCCTGCTCACGAAGGCGCTGCGACGAGGCGGAGCGGCAGCGGCTCGCGGTGGTCTGCTCGCGGAGGTCTGAACACCAGTGGACATGACTCGCTGGTTTCCGGATGTGGGCCTGCGGGTTTGGTTCTTGGCGAGATGGGTCAGTGGCGGTGGTGGTCTGGTTTTCTCACGGGGAAAAGATCAGCAGCGAGGTGCCTGTGCGGGGAGGAGATCACCGGTTGTAGGGTCGCCATGGAGATCGCAGACAGAGACTCGCCGGGAAAGAAGGACTGGTCGCGGCGGCGACTTGAACGGAGAGCTTGCAGATCGCGGCGGAGGAGGGAGAGGCTTCGCGTGGAGGGAAGATCGCCGGAATTGGGCTCTGATTTGCGGACGTGCGGAGGAGTTGCAGCGGTCTGGTTTCTCGGCGAAGGCTTCGCCGGGAAGAGAAGCAGCGGCTACGGCGAGTTGCTGGGGATGATGACGAGATGAGGGCCGCGGCTGGTTGCGGGAGGAGGGCCTGAGACACTGCTCAGTTCGCCAGAGAGAATGGAAAGGATGGTGATCAGCAACGATGAGAGAAAAGGGATGAAGGCGATGAGATTTCTGTGAGGGAGAGATCGCGTCTGGAGGACGACTAGAGAAAATCTCAAATGGGGAAAAAGCTGCGCGACTCAAAATAAACGAGGAAGGAAAAAGATAGATACATAGATTTATATATATATATATATATATATATGCAATATAAGGTTTAAAAATTCTTGACCCACAAGAATTTCACACGCACAGATTAGAGAAAGTGGGTCTTGGGCGGGTCGGTTCAAGTGGGCGGTTTAACGGCTCACGGTTCGGATCGGTTGGGCCGATTTGCACGTGGTTTCGCCAAAATAATTCGGCTCTCGGGCTCGATTTAATCGCACGATTAAATAAATACAACTCGGATAATATTTTTACACATTATTTTAAAATAATAATATTAATTATCAAAATATACAATTAGCAATAAATTTCAATTTGGCAAGCAATAATATTCAGTCATTTAATAATAGCAATAATATTAATAATATCACAATAATAATAATAATCAATTAATAATAATAATAATTAATATTCTCAAATAATCCACAAATAAACGAGACACTACATAAACGTCGAATGTAATTCGGACATGATAAAGGAGTGCAATAAAGTTTTGTTAATAGATCAAAACATTATTTAGGTTATTGAGCGGAATGGGCTCGGCCTACAGTTCGGCCCAATGACTTAAGAAGCCCACGTCATCACCTCCTTAAGGAGGCTATAACCCTATAAATACGCCATTAAGCTCATAGAATTGGGCATCATAAGACGGCACGCCTCACGCATAACTGGCCGACCCTAGTTCCCCTAAGCTTTACCTTCGACTTTTGTTACTCCACTCAGAAAACCGGAGAAGTGTCAGGTAATATAGCAGAAGTCCTCGAGACACACAAGACCACGGAGATCTACCGCATTCAGTTGCACGCGACCAGGCCACATGCAGCGATCAGCCGAGACGCAACCTTGTGACCACCACGCACGGCTCGAACGCAACCATTGACCCGTCACGCTCGCCTGCAGCCCTCGAGTTTCTCGTGCATCCCCGGTGACCTCAATCCATGTGTTGCAGCCTCGTTCGACACCGACCCGACGTCCGCGAGATGCGCTGCAACCGCGCAATGTTTTCCCGACGAACCCGAGATGTTCGAACGAGGCTATTTTCGGCCAGTGAAAAATCAGACGATCTCCATCAACGAAAATCTACAACGTCTCAGAGACCGCAAATTTTAAGCCGTATATTTTCAACTTTGAACCTCTAGATCCGCTGCTCATATGTTTATTGGTGATTATTTAATTCGTGACTTGTACATAACGAGATTCTCGCGTGTCCCAACACGTACGACCTGCAGTAACTCCGATTGTTAGGCTTGTCAGGTGTGTAGACGACCAAATCTTGTTACGACACGTGGTCTAATCCATCTATGGCAAAGTTCCTAAGTTAGATCCCTTTTTGTCTTGATTCGAGACCAGGTCCACGTCATCAGGTAGAACATTCATTAGGTGGAACATCCTCTCCTCCAGCTCCTCTGTTGCCCATGAGGTCGACTCGACCTCTGGGTTCCTCAAGTTCGATCATGGTATGAGCTCATCATGTGGTTGACTTCTCCTCTCGGTAGATCGTCGCCGGCCTGGCTATTGCCTTCAGGTTGATCCTTGGTCACAGCTTGAGCTGCCTTGATAATTCGATCTAGTCGCTTGGTTTTCATCGGTTCGATTGACCCGCAGTAATATCCTATATTAATTACATTTTTCTTTTATCCCAAATCAATTATTGATATCTTTTACTTTATTCAAAAATAATTTTATTACTTCACCTCTACTAACGACGCAATTATTAATATCCAATTACACATTATTTACGCAAATAAGTTTTATGGAAAAGACTGGAGGCCGAAAGCATCTACTGGAAATTTCGAATTATACATTAATTAAGCTAATCCCAGGAAAAAAAGAAAAAGCTCTAACAAACAAAGTCCGGAAAGCGATCCACTGGTACACGACAGATAAAAACATTTCAAATCAAGCTAATGATTAATTAGTTAACTAATTAATCATGATTAAATTACATTTAACCGTGTTTTATCATCACAGACGAAACCCGGACGAAGTTTCCGGAAACGACGACGAAACGTACTCCCTCACTTCCCTCGCTATCACATCCCTCATCGCGCTCCACAACCCCGGCTCCACGACCCCCGCCGCCGCTGCCGCCTCCGTCCCCGGCGGCGCCAGAGACAGTGCCGTCAACGGATCGAAATCGTCCCTCCGGTGCGCCGCCGAGCAGTGCCGCGTCTTGAGGGTCGAGTTCCAGTGGTTCTTGACGGCATTGTCGGTCCGGCCCGGCAGCAGCCGCGCGATGGTGGCCCACCGGTTGCCATAACGGTCGTGCGCGGCCAGGATGATATCGTCCTCCGCCGCCGAGAAAGGGCGGCGCTCGACGACCGGGCTGAGCTGGTTGCACCACCGGAGGCGGCAGGACTTTCCCGACCGGCCCCTTATGTACTTGCTTATCAATGACCAGTTGCGGGGCCCGTAGCGCTCGACCAGCCGGGTCAGGATCCGGTCTTCCTTCACGCTCCACGGGCCCTTAATCCTCTCCGGCATTTCCCGGTTCCCTGGGAATTTGCTCGAGGACGAGTTGGCTGATGACGAGTCGGAAGAGGATGAACTCGCCAGCGAACATCTGTTGAACAGGTCCATCCTTGGGAAGAAAATGTTTTTGTTTTCTTTTTTATGTTTCCCAACTGTTTGATAGAATGCGTGAACAAGAGAGTGAGGAAGTGTGGAGCTGCTAAGTGTTGGATGAGTGAGTGAGTGAGCTGAGAAGTATCTTTATAGACAAAAATGGGATAAAGGGAGTACGTTTACATTAGGGAGGGAGGGAATAAAAATGTGGAAATGGGTGCATGCACCTTTGCCTTTTCTCCTATTTTAAGGGCGATGTTGCTTTGTACATGCCTCCAGGAAACTTCTCAGTGTAAGATTGGTGGGGTGGGATGGTTTTATTTGTGTATTTGATTGGTACACAACTATGGCTGTCAGACACTAGCGGTTAGCTACTCAGATTGTGATCTTTTTATTAAATTATATTATTATTGTCTATTCAATTTTTTACATTATTATTTTCAGTTAATCAAAGAAAAATAAGTAAATTACATAATGAACTATGTCAAATATATTGAAAGCTGAAATAAAATTGTTGAGATAATAATATTTAAAAGTAAAGGTGAAAATATTACATGAAAATTTTAGTTGACAAACCTTTGTTATCTAAGGCAGTTTTGTTTATTCGAAATCCTTTTTGTCATGAAAAGATTGAAAAATATGCACAATAAAACTAAATTAAAACTTTTTTTAAGGATAATTGAATGTGATAGCTTACAATTATATCTTCTTATCTTTTGAAGATGGTCATTCTTTGTCATTATTTTTATTGACCAAATAAAATTATTATAATTCAATAGATATTAAAAAAAAAAGTTAGAGCGATAACCACAAACTATGATTTTGAATAAAAGGCCTCGGTAGGCGAAAAAGGAAAATGGTATTGTACTCAAAGACCGTTTACATCGACCCTCACCAACGGTTGAAGCATGGTTGAAATTGAATCTAACGGATATACTGATATCCTTACAAATCTAAAAACTAATAAACTAATTATTAAATTATTATAATTCTTTATTTAAATACTTATAATTTTGAAAAATCAAAACAATTATATACAAATTAATCAAATAACTCTTGTGGAATTTTCAGTTTAGGCCAATCCTTTCTGCTCCTGGGATTTTCTTATGGAATTTTCAGTTTAGGCAAAGTCTTTCTGATCCCTTCAGATAAACCTGGGTTGTGGATTGTTCTTGTGGAATTTCCAGTTTTGGTGTCTATCTCCTCTCTACTCCAGGATCATAAGTATTCTCAACTTAATTTCCAGTCATCAACAACCATTTAGGTCTCAAAAAACACCCAATTATTCTACAATAATTATCATAAAAATGTAGTAGCAAAATATGTTAAACCTCAAAATGTAGTATGAATATATTTCATCAAAGTGTGAAACATAATAAATCCCAAGAGTACAATCAGACATCCTAAAACATATGAACCTCAGCCACATTATACATATCTCATATCAACCTCAACCATATATCAACATCAGTCATTATCCCATACCATTATCACCCTAGAATTCTCATGTAAACTATAATCACACATAAATTACAACTTGCTCACACGATGATGCAACCATACTACTAAGAGTATGTTTGCAAAGTGGTGGCATTTGCTATTGTCGCGAAGCCGTATCATAGCAGGTCTTGTGTGCCAACTTGGTCGAGTTTAATTGGAAACACGATTCCAACCCGTCCAACCACAGGTTCCTGCACTCAAGAAACACTAGTCCAGCTAGTCCACCGAACATAACCTCCTCTCTCTCAGCATCTCATCCACCACAGTCCTGGACCCTCACTTCCATCTCCTACATACTGTACACCACAAGTTTTTGATCATGTGTCGGGTAGTTCCCGTAGAACCACTCCACCGCCCCCCGAGTCGTCCGATATAAATACTCGCCTCCGCCAGCGACTCCTTCACCAGCTTCGGCAGGCCCGCCTTGGCACCAGATCCAAGTACACGTCCTCCAACCTCTTGAGTGCCTCCGCCTCCCTTCTCCTCCGATGTTGCCCCGAACACTAGACTTTTCACAAGCCCGCTCCTTCTCATACCCACCACCGTGCTCTCCAATTGCCTCAGGTGCACGATCCTGTAGTTGCTCATCAGGCGCAACCCGCCGATGGGTTCAGCCCCAGAGACGACACGATTAGACCAGGACAAGCACGTTCGCAAGGGCCATTTGCCTGAAACTTGGGACCAACAAGAAATAGAAGGCCCGAGCATGGCCGTCTTTCAAAGAATCAGCCCAGACAGGAGCTCGATGCCGGTGCCTTTAAGAAAGTCGAGATCGTTCTCGAACTAGTAGGAGCCCAAGACGAGGCCCTTTTGGCCATTATTGACGAGACCCTCCTCCACTAGATTTTGGAGCGAGATGGGTAGAATCCTCATTCAGGCGCCGCGCGCCTCCCCACCGCACGCGTGTTCTCCATCCATCGTGCGCATCCCCGCCGGCACCGGATCCTCAGAGCAAGCTCCACCACGAGTCGCTTCGCCTCCGGCTGCTCCAGATTACCAACCATTCCACGGTCTCTTTTGACTTCCTGGTAGGCCAGGCTGTGGTCAGAGGGGTGGAGGCTCCGTCCGGCGCAGATGGCTGCTAGGGTGGCGAGCGCGCCGGAGTAGTTTTCGCCCATCAGTATCATCAATCCAATTTAAGGATTTTGGGTATCGATCGAATTTGGGGATTTTGAGAGTGAGGGGTAATCTGAATTCGTTTTCTATTTTAATGCTACAACCCCAATGAGTTTTAATGCCACGTCAGTTTGTAAGTCGCTGTTGTCAATGTATATTGTACCTATAGCGGGACCGTTATACAAATAAGATTTTGTGTTTGCGTAAGTATGTAAATTCGCCTTAAATCTATCCATTGAAGAAGAAAATATTGACGACACATACTCATTTTCGAACAAGATTCAACGACAACTGTTATCCTGGAATCGAACATCCAATCTCGTATATGCACAAGAAGTCAGTCTAAACCGTTGAACCGGAATCAAACACACTTTGTTAGTAAATGCACAACAAAATCCAAACCATTAGACATCATAATCAAAAACAATAAAAACACATCAATCGTGTAATTAATACCCTTTGGTAAATCGTTTATTCCAATCCAAGAAGTTGCGCGACGCGTGCACTCTCAAACGTCTAAACAAATGTTCACTGGATGTAATGTCCTAAGGACAGAGAACTACCTTTGCCTAATTTTAAGGTCAAAATTCATTTCCGCCCCCACAATTCAGGCCACAGATCATTACAGTATTTATACACACCAAGCACACAACATTCAATTAGTGGAAGCATGTGATGCTAACTCCAGTTTAATTTTCTTTTGGTTTTCTTGTGCATTCAGCTTACTTGCTGTTGGTGTGTCCCGTATATAGGGTATGGGCCGTATGCCGCTGTATACAAACTTGGGTCATGGGGAGGTGGCACTGTATATCCATAGCCGTCAAAGAAAGGCGGGCCATAGAAGGGGCCCGTCCATTGGTGTCCAAAATCAGCTCTCCACTGCAAATTACGGAAAATAGTGAATAAAAATAGTGTTTGGAACAACTTAAACTGTTCAGAGGTGTCATTGATTTATCTACTTCAAGTTAAAGATAGTTAGCCAGCAGAGTGCTCCATGAATGAGTTGTGAACATGCTTATTCATGATTACAAGTCAAAGCTCACTCCCAATTCTGATATATTATGTAGAATATAGTTACAACTTGGCATTTCCAAGCACTAAAAAAATACTTTCTCACCTACAAATTGATACATCTAACAATACAGAAGTTAAGATAATGGGTAAAATAATAGTTGCCTGTTTGTTAGCCGGATTACGTCCCCAAGATAGACGGACAGTTTGCTTCCCTATTGTTGTACCACTTAACTGCTGCAAGGCCTCTTCAGCATCAATTCTGTCGAATTTAGGTTTCCGGATTTCATCAAATTATATATCTAACAGGGTAAAAATTTGAATGACTAGATTATTTACCTGTTTGCAAATTGAACAAAACCACATCCTTTTCCAGCTGGTATTTTGACTGACACTATTTCGCCATACTGCGAAAATGGCTGCCTCAGATCCTCATCAGTAACGTTAGGGTCAAGTCCCCCAACAAAAATCTAGGAAAATTTACAGGCTCTTAAAAACATTTCACAAAGCAGCATTAGATAACATAAAAAGAAACGGGCAGAATAACCAACTGTTGCATTCACAGAATCTCCATCAGACTGAGAACCCTGGGCCGAGAAACCATTTGAGTATCCACCTAAGGAGATAAATTTTATAGAAATAATTAATGCAGAAATCGCAACTTAAACAACTAATGTAGCATCAACTTGAATTCCCAACAGGTGAAGAATACCTGTGTTTCAATAGTATTAACTAAGCAAAAATAAAAACCCAAAAAATAAAAGAAGAAAGAAGAGGAAAGAGTATAACGCAATCCATACATAATTACACACGGACAGCCAACACAAGAACACAATACACTAGTGAAAAATTAAAACTTCGTGTAGACGGGCACTTCATTTTCGTCTCAAAGCCGACCCAGTAACCTAGCTTGTGTTCCTCAACGCGTGTGTCCCCAATTGAAGAGGAAAACATAATTCCAAGTACAAACCCAGTAACATGGAAATAAAGTTTCAATTCCAAAACAAGACAAAAGAAAAAAAAGGCTCTACACAGTTCATGCATAACCCCTCACACATAACTAAAACAATATCATCACCATCATCACATCACATCCAGATCTCAATTTTTTTGGCTTGATTCAATAACCTAAAAACACAATCTCCAAAGAAGGTAGAGAAAAAATGGTTCATACCTTGCGGCGAGTAGTGTTGTTGGTAGCCAGACGACTTCCTGGGAGTGGCAGCCCCAATGCGCATCTTCCTCGACGCACAGTAAACCCCATTCATCTCGGTCATAGCCTGTGTCCTCTCGGCGTCATCTCCAAACCTCACAAAACCGTAACCCTTTGAGCGGCCCGTGCTGGCATCAATCACAACCTTGGCAGCCTTGACAGAGGGGTACTTGCTAGCAAAGGTCTCATGGAGAAGGGCATCCGTGACTTCGGCCGCCAGGTCACCGACAAAGATGGACAGATCTGAATCGTTGGTGGCGTTGTTGGTGGTGTTGTTCGAGCGCTTGTCGCCAGCGCTGAAGGCAGCCCAGTTGAGGCGGAAGAGTTGATCTGTGTTTGGCATGGCCAGGCCAGAGTAGGTCTGGAGGACCTTCTCGGCTGCCGAGTGGGACAAGAACTCCACAAACCCATACCCCTCAGGGATACCCGTCTGCTTGTTGCGGATCACCTTTATGGAGTAAACCTGCATGTGAACAAGGATTTATTTTTTAAAAAAAAATTAAAACTTGGAAAAAAAAAAAAAGAGAAAATTGGTAAGGGTGAGAAAAGTTGCAATTATTGGTCCCAATAGTTGAATTCACTTTTTCTATTTATTTAATTATTTTCTTTTTTTTTTTTCAAATTTTGTAACTTGAGTCAAGTGTTTACAACACTCTTGGTTCTAGAGAAGGGGTTCATTTTCACTTTTGTGACAAACAATACAACAAATGATTTTTGTGGGGCTAAATATAATAAAACTTATTCCTATTGGATTCTTTACTCGATTTGTCAATATTGGGGCAGAAAGAGTTAGGGATATAATTCCATGGGACCAAAGGTGTGATTTCTCAAGTAATAGCCAACTAAATTAATACAGACAACAAAATCTTAGTTAGGAAATCATGAAAACCTGTGAAACTTCAAGTTGTTATTTTATGTTTGGGAAGAGATAAAATTTTCAAGATGGGCAGCTTTCAGTGTCTCACATTATCTTTATAATGTTTTTCCTTGCTAGCAGTGTCTCAGCTCAACTTCAAAGTCAAGAGTGCATTATTTTCTATATATGTCTTTTCTGTTACTTCCTGCTTCTCAATTGTTGCTCCAATAGCGAGAAGCAGAAGCTGGCAGGCACAAATACTCATGAGAAACTAACTAAAACATGGGTTTTAGCTGAAATAGAACATATGTGTTATGGAAATTTCATTTTGCCATAGTTTTGAAATGATGGATGAATTAGAACCACATGAGCCACTTGTATAATTTGCAAGTTCAAGTGAAAAACCACCAAAAATCATGTTCCATTTTATTAAAAAGATTGGGGATGTAATGTCATTTCCCAATCTAATGTGTAAAGGAAAAATGTGTACTTCCACATCGAAACTCATTATAAAGTCATGGCAGCAAACAGCAAAATATTTCTTCTGACATCAAACATAATGCAATGACTTGACTAGATTATGTTTACCACATAACACTGTAGCAGTTCATCCTTAACAAAAGAAAGCGAGAAAACTACAATATTTGACACCCATTAACTATTTATTCATTAACACACGTCAAGCCTCTGTGGGAAGTAGATATGTCCCTTGATTACTTGAAACAGAAACACCAAAATGTCAGATAAAATAAAAGCTGAAGAAACTGGTACTTTTGGGTTTAAATTAATATAAATTCCACCTGATCAATAGAAACTTATATATATATATATATATATANACCTGATCAATAGAAATATATATATATATATATATATATATATATATATATATGTATGTATGTATATGTGGGTAGGGGAGCATTTCCAATAATTATATATATGTGTGTGTATGTGTTTGTGTGTGTGCGCGTGTAAAGAGGTTCCTTAAACACTTACACTTCAAGACAAGAATTCATACAAACAATCTGCATATAGATTATATCGAGCAATCAAAAATACTCATTGAGAAAAGGCTACTACCAAGCAAATAAAACTCAACGACATACAAAAATCTATTCAAAATCTAGCCATACAACAAAGTTCCACAATTTAATTTGTAATATATCAATCTAAAATATTTTTTCCCGTTAAATATACAACCTTTTACCAAAAACTTTATACCAATAATAATTTAGTGATTAATATCCAATATCCATTAACATAATTAATCATTATGATATACAAACTGCTGCAGCTGAGACGTGGACATACTTAATTTATGCATTAACCATTATAATACACACATGTGGGATAAGAAAATTTTTCTTTTTAAACATAATGCTTTTAAACATAAAATTTAACACTTTTATTGCTTTAATTAACACTAGTACAATTCCCGTGTATTACACGGGTGTTGAATTAGAAAGTTTTTGTAAAAAATATTAGATTTTTTATTTTTTTAAAAACTAAAATAATTTAATTTTATATAAAACATTACTTTGAATTTTAATTAAATTGTCAAATTATATTTTTTTAATCATAATAATTAAACACCCGTACATTAAATGAAAATGTCAACCCGTGTTGAATATTTTTACTTATATCATTTAAAAATATCGATATTATTTAGTATTACATAAGTACAAAAATACATATCTTAAATAAATAGAAATAATATGGTGATATGTATATGCATAAGTGTAGAATATGTTCATTTAATATAAAGCAAAATAGATTAATTTTTTTACTTAATTAGATGCCTAATACATCAAGTATCGTATCAGTCGTGCTTCACAGTTTTTTAACTTTATATGTAATTTTAGAATTTAGATAAATAATTATTTATTTTTATTAGATTGACAACATACTAATTAGATTTGAAATAAATATCATTTTTAAAAGAATACATACCAATTTCTATTACTTTATAATATAATTTATAGTTTTATTTGATATAATTAAATTTAGTTTGATAAATAAATTAAATTTTATGTATAAGGATATATATTACTGTTTTGTATTTTATATATATAATATGGATGTCAAATCAAAAATAATCAAAATCTGATTAATTTAATATATTATATATGTAAAACCGATAAGAAATACAAAAGGTATCATTTTTATAGTAGTTTATGATAACTAATTGTAGAAGTAAAGAAAGAAAAAATCAATCATGGATTTAGTGTATTTAGTGTGATAAAAAATATTAATTTATATCCAAGCCTAACTCCAAAGCATCCCCTCTATATATAATTTCAACTCATTCTGAAATTATATATAGAGGGGATTTACTGTTTAAAACATAAACTAGTACAGAGCCCGTGCGATGCACGAGGTGCACAATTCTAAGGCTATTTATTCAGGCTTATAATTATATACATGAATAAAGAAAAATGTACGGGATATATATAGTACGTGACACGTGCGAAGCACGAGATATATTTATTTGGAGAATATTATATTATAAGATGCAATATTCAATAAAAGTTTATAATACGCAAGAAAATTGTACAATGTTCAATAAAAGTTTTATAATATTCAAGTGGAGTCTTAAAGTCTCTTGTACATTAAGACTACTGACAAAATAATATTTTAATCAATGAGTTTCCTTTCCTTGTAACCAAATTGTGAATGTGATTTGAGGAGTACAACAAATCGATATATAGCTGACTTGCTTTTTTCATTGTAGTTTTTTTTTCTCTTTTTTATAATGAATTTAAAGATATTCTAAAATATAGCAAAAATTAATTTTTTTTATTACAATTAGGAATTTTACTAAATATAACTCTCAATCTATGGTGTTAATCAACGTTTAAGTCTAAAAAATTAGAAATTTTCCCTCTTTTAATCAACGTTTAAGTCTAAAAAACAATAGAGTTATCATAAGTTTTTTTTTCTACATCTTTTAAAACATTAAATATGAGCATGTTAGGGCTAGCTTGTAAAATAATTAATATATTATCTCACTAAAACATTTATACTAATAAAAATTTAATTTTAATATATAAATTTATCCCTTGATATAAGAGAAAGTAACAGTTTTACTTATTGTTGTTCACCATATAATATTTAATTATTATTTTATTATATAATAAAAAATAAATATTGTTAAATAGTGTAGTAGAATTGTTATAAAATTATATATATTTTTTTTTATAATATGAATTTAATATTTTTTTTATGATTCGATAATATAAACAAATCTATACGTAACTTTGACAAATAAAACAAATAAGTACTTTAGTAAGTATTTAATGTATATACTAAATAAGAATATATTTGGTATAATCAAATACCAAATATAATCAAATTATACTTACCTTTTTAAAATAGAACAAATAAATAAATCAATTAAATAAATAAAATATTATAATATCAAAATAGTAATGACATTTAATGCAGTTGACTTTTCTGGATAGTAAATGTAGTAAATAGAATTTTTTTATATAAGTATAAATTGTATAATACGGAAATAGTAATGCAATAAATGTTGTTGACTTTTCTTTATACTAAATTTGGTAAATGATATACCTTTTAATATAAGTATAGATATAGATGATACTTTACTACCAGCATCTTACTATAGAACAGTCTCACACAAGTTTCAGCAATCAGATGCCACCTGTACTCCGACTTCTACTTCATAAACAATCATAATCACATTATCTAATGAAGTTCACCAACTATAAAAAAATAAAACCCAAGGGCTAGATTCTTATCAAACTTTATTTCTTCAATTAAGAAATCAACTTTTTTCCTCGAAAAAAATAAAGACGCAAAAACAACTCAATGTATAATGTACCTCTCCAGTCGAAGCAAAGCAATTACGGAGATAATCCTCATCCATCCAGCCACAGAGGTCGCCAACCCAGATCGTGCGGTTCTCCCCGCTAGACCCCCCTCCCTGCGGCGGCGGCGGAGGAAGCGGCGCAACGAGCGGCGGGTGGTGGTGGTAAGGCAAGTAATGCGAGGGTATGTAGTGCGCGGGCGGCGGCGGCATCATCCCGTGCGGCATTACCATGGTCGCCGCAGGGTACTGCATCGCCACCCACGGCTGGCCGGGAACCGCCGCGACCACCTGCGGCGGCAGAGCCGCCAGGGGCTTGTTGTTTCCGGCGCTGTTGCCGCCGTCATTGCTGCCGTTGCCGTTGCCATTGTTCTCTTTGGGGGAAGTACTCTGTTGAGGCTCTGAATCGCCACTATTCGTCTGCATTTCGGAGGACATTATTCGAATTACTTTCTGGAAAAGGGGGGGAAATTGGGATTGGGAGAAAAGGAGGAGCAGTTGTGTATGTATGGGTTGGGAGTAAATCTGAGTCGAGAGAGACAGAAATGGAAAAGGAAGAGGGTGGGGGGTTTGTTTGTGTGGAGGCTGAAGGAGAGGATTTGAGGTTTTCATGGGAATCCCTTAGATGACGCGTAAGATCTATCAACCGTTGGATTCGAGAAACTGGTTCGACATCTGGGCCGTTCGTATTTCTCTTGTTTGGGTTTTTCTAGTTGTTTCCGAGTCGGCCGCCAATTTTCCCTTTTTTGTTTCCTTTTCATTTTCGACATATTTTGTTCCCTTCAATTCTAATTCTTTTCCTTTTTATATACTAGTTTGCACTTTTCCTATTAAGGTTGGAAATTATTCCTTATTTTATATTGCTCTAATGATTGTTTTTCTTCTTTTTTCAACGTTAACAAGAAAATTTATAACACCTGAAGAAACTACAAACCGAATACCACAAGGGGTATTCGTACAGCTACCAACAAAAATTGGAACTAAGAACCAAGAAACTTACAAGAGTCCCTTAACGTATGTGAATTGTATTGTAGAAGCCATCCGATAAAAAACTTCTCCAATAGTCACTTTTCTATTTCTATTATGACGTGGCATGAAAGAGATACAGAATTTTAGAAGTCCTTCTATATGTGGAAGTCCTTCTAGATTTGATGAGTTAATTTTTTGCCCTTATTTGTAATACAAAATAAATGGATAATAGATAGATAGAAATGAATCATTGGAGACTTTTTATGCACTTGAACCTCTATTTGTTTCAGGTGGATGAAAGATCATCTATTTAATTGCCACATACACTACAATTCATACTCACGATTGGAGATGCTCTTATCAACACAACCAAAAGATAAAAAACTACACTTAGACAATAGCTAAGAGAAAACAACAAGAAGAAAACGACAACCTACACAACACTCAAACAACAACAAAAATCAAAAAGAAGAAAAGGATACTGCCATGGACAAAATATCTGCACTCACCACATCCCTAGCAGTTCCACTAAGCAGTCCAGAGTTCAATAGCTTCACTAGATTCTTCCATCTAAGGCCAATGTCCAAACTCCCAATAAAGCTCTACTAATGACTCCAAAGTCCATCTAATCGCTACTAGCCAAGCCTCCACTGAATCTCCAAAGAAATTCCTAGAAACAGCATTGTCAAGCACCAATATAGATTTAAACACAGCAGCTAACTCACACCTCAGCACCGCCACACTTTCTACTTTTGCCCTCACATAACCTTAAGCACTCCTCAATCATTAATCCTGCTCACCTCAACACTATGCAAATTGTCCCCCACTCTAGCTCCCCTTTCCCCTATTATATGCCTTCACCATTAGGAACTCTAACCAATCACCCCTAGCATTTTCAACCACTCTTTTCTCCTTAGTCCAGCATTGTTTAAGCACTCAAAAATTTCTAGTCTTCCATAGCTACCAAAAAAGGTAAATAGAAAGACTTATCATATCTTTGAGGTCAATGAAAGAATCAGCACTACAAACCTCTCCCCACCACTCCTTAAATTTCATCTTGCCTGACTTTAGTGATGGATATAGAAATTTCACTCAGGGAGCCCGATTTTAAATGTTATAATGAGCTTGTAGTTTAAGTCGAAATGCTCATTTTATATGAAAATGTATTTACTATAAATATAAATATCGATTTGTGTACCATTAAGGTTTTAAAAACTTAGAATTTGTATCACCCTCAGACTTTTAAAACAATAAACAAAAAAATTTAGATTTAATTTATTTATAATTTAAGAATAAAATAAACAAAAAAATAAACGTTTTTTAAGAAGAAAAAAAAAATAAATTTTTTTGCAGCACATTGCATGGAATTTTCGTTAATGAGAGCTTATCGTATGAACATTTTTTAAGAAAAATCAAATAAATTTAAAAGTATGTGATTACACAAAAAAATGTAAAAAATTAACATTTAAAAATATTATAGTCCCACTAAATACTAAGTTTTATAAATCACTAAATCAATTATAATTAAGAGACCGAATGAGTAAATCGTTATAAATATTTTCAAAAACTTATCAAAAAATATAAAATATAAGGATTGTTATATTAATTTAAATTAAAATAGTATAAAAGATAATTATTAATATATTTTAAATATTTTTTACATTTCTATACATATTTTATAGTATTTTTTATATATATAATGGTTTAAAAATATCAAGGGGGCCCACGGGGCCCCCCGGCCCTCATACAACTTTGTCACTGCCTGACTCCCATTGTTCCACTTCACCCTCAGCTTCTAACACTTAATTGCTCTAGGACACCTGAAGAATAGGTGTTCTATGTCTTCTTCCTCCTCTCCAAAACTCCTGCAAACTCCATCTCCTTGAACTCCTTTAGCCTTCAGTTGGACATTTGTTGGAACAAAGCCATGGCAGCTCCTCCAAATAAAGTTCTTGATTTTATTTTGGATGGGGAATCTCTAGGTATTCTTCAACATCTTTTTAGTCACATCAATGCTAAAACCTGCCCCTGCTTCAAAACACGTTGATTTTGCAAACTTTAGAATATTCTAGTAAGCTGACTTGACAGTAAACTGTCCAGATTTGTTAAAATGCCAAACCAATTTATCTTTAACTCCACAATGACTTAAAGGAATTTGAAGAATGGCATGAGTTGTTACAGGGTCAAAAGACTGACACACAAGATCTCCATCTTACTCCTTCATCACTTTACAAATCAGATCACTCACCTTCTCTAACACTGACCTATCTCTGAAGAAACTTAACTAAGGTTTAAAGAAAGGAATATTTGGGATCCAAGGACTGTCCCAAATATCCACAGCTCCACCATTGTCAATTTGAAACCCAATCCATCTTCCTAAAGACCCCCTCACACTTAGTCAACTTTTTCAAAGCTAAAAATCACTATTTCTAGGATTAACCTCCACAAGCCTAGCTTTATGAAAACATCTAACCCTCACAACCTTGCTCATAAGAAGGATTGGTTTTGTGAGAACCCTCCAAAGTTGTTTCAAGAGCAAAGCCTCATTGAAGGCCAGCAAAACTAGCCCACCTCGCTTAATGTAATCTATGCCACCCCCTTCTTTCCTACCCCACCAGAAGTTACCAGTATTCTTGTAAATATCATAACAAATAGAAAATGAAAGCTTATAATAGGACATGATATAAGTAGGAATGACACCGAGCACAGATTTTGTTAGAAATTTTCTCCCGACCTCACTCAAGTACACATTTTTCCTGTTTGAGATTTTATTTTGAACAACCTCACTCACAAACTTGAAAGCTTCTTTCTTAGACATACCAATCCCCAATGGGAGACCAAGGTACTTAATGGTTTTAACTTGGATAATACCCCCTCAGAATATAACTAATATCAGCAACAGAAGAGGAAGAGGTATTCTTGGAGAAAACACTAAAGACTATTCCAGGTGTTGCTGCAAAACAAAATGGAATCATTAGCAAAGAAAATTTGAGATATAACAGGAGATGGCGGGCCTTAGTTGTTGGGTTCTATGAGGAACATCAAAGACATGCACAGTATTGAACTTATCGAAATAAATCCTAACGCAGCGGAATCTATAGTTAGGATTAGGACATTACCTTTTAAAATTTTTGCCGACTCAGAGACGTTTCTGATTTCCTTTAATGGAGATCGTCTGATTACCACAACTCAATTGGTTGAAGAGTTTGGCCTTTGTCGACTCTAGTCGAGTGTTGAATCACGAACGAATCACCCGAACGAACTTCTCAGGTTCGAATCATGTCTCGGGTCGGGTCGGGTTGCAGCGGCTTGGGTCGCGGACAGACGCGGGTCACGGTCTAGCACAGGTCGCGGTCTGGTGGTCGGGACGTGCGGGCAGACTGAGACGGTCGCTGGACGTGCGCGCGTGCTGGACAGAAGTCCTAGGTCGACGCGGACAAGGGCTCGGGCAGCTGGCAGACGCGTGCGGGTGTCCTAGGTCGTCGAGGTCTGGGCGTGCGGTGACTGGGCGTCACGCGAGCGTGTGCGGCAAGTCTCCTGGGTGCGCGCGGGATGGTGGACGCGTGATGCTTGGTCGCTGGAAGCAGATCGACGCGGCGCTGGGCACGAGCAGGGGTGATCGGGATCGGCTTGCTCGTGATGCACGGTAGTGCTGGACGGCGATACGTGTCGCTGGGAACCTTTCGCGAGGCTCGGGCTGCGCGTGGTTACGGGCCTGTGCTCGCGGTCGTGTGCGGCTGGGCTTGGGGCAGTTCTCGGTCACGATCGGAGGTGGCAGCAGATTTCCGGCGAGGACGACGGCGGCGGACGGCGGCAGTCGGGTGGAGAGGATGGCCGGAAAATATAAAATGTTTGTGGTTAGATATAATATCACCTTGAAGCCTTCTAATGAATTACCTAGACAACTAATTCAATTAATCTTGGTGGAGCAATTAATTGAATTTCCCAAACACTTAATCAAAACAATTTTTCTCTGATGAAAAGAAGGAAAAATCGAGTGGCTCAAAGTCATGTACAAGAGGTTGTGACATGGTGTATTTATAGGATTCATTAGGGACCTTAAGGAGGTGCCAAATATGGGTCTACCCCATTAGGCCAAGGAATCTTAATTCTAGTCCACAAATTAATCCCAACTAGGTCATGATTCCTTTCTCCGAACATCACCTTCTAAAAGACTCTCTAGTCTCCTAACCCTATGTAATATTCTAGAAGGAATATTCCATAAGTCTTAAAATATTAAATATGGAATAAAATTAATTCCTAAAATCCTAATAAAATTAAATAACAATATCCCACTAGAATACTATTATTTCTCTCCCCATTTGGCTCCAATTTAATCAATTAAATCAAACATCCACTTGATTAAATAAATATTAATCTTATTGATCGATTTACTTCCTTATGTTTAGGATATAACGTCCATTGATTAATTAAATTACTGACAAAATAATTAATCAACTTCTTATTAATTTCCGTAACTAGTACCATTCAGATCGTTAACCATTATGTTGGAGCATATCCGCCTGCAGGACTTGACATAATATTCCTTCCTGAGTTCATTTCGGGGACGTCATCAATCCAGCGAACTAGAACATAGTGACCGTAAATAATTTATAATAGCACGTCATATAAACATCCTCTTTTACCAAAGTACCGAGTACGTTATCCTAACGGAATAGGAATCACCTTTGGTAAATCAAATAAACAAGTAATGAATATACACGCTTATTTTATATTATCTTACAACTTTAGAGAACGCATCAATAACTGAAGGTCAAGATTACAACAACGATCAGTGAGTCTCATAATCTTAGCCTTCCACGGTCCTGTTCAATAGTTAACATAAGTACTAGTGTAGTTCTCCATTTAAAGATCAACTGAATCAAGAATACACTACAATCTTTTTCCAAGAGGGGTCTCACTGCCTGTCTAGACTGTGAACGAATAGTTTACTCTTACAAGGAACCGATAGGTGACCTTTCTGTTCGAGACACCACGAACCACATCTCAATGTAAGACAAGGAGTATGATTGCATAAATAAATAAACTGCAAGCATATATATACTTTGACTAAAACATGATTGTCAGATCAAAATAGAATTGTTCATATCTAAAAGCCAAGCTTTTACAGCATATCTAACAATCTCCCACTTATGCTTGATAAGCTCATGGCTATCACTATCCACAATTTTCTTTCAATCTAATTCTCAAAAACTAGTCTAATGTGTCGCCCTAACATCTGACTCCCATTCCTTCTACGTGTCTTGAACCGTATCAGGTGGTACTTGCGCTCTATATGTTTACTTGCTTTATGTGTTCATGGCTCCTTCGAATTTGCTACTGCTCCGCTGTTATCACAAAACACTGTAATGGCTGCGGGCAAACTCGGCACCACGTCAATGAGAAAATTCCTGAGCCAAACAGCTTGTTTCGTTGCCTCTGAGGCTGCTACATACTCAGCTTCCATGGTTGAGTCTGCCACGCATTTCTACTTGACACTCTTCTACACAATGGCTCCTCCTTCTAAAGTAAACACAAACCCTGAGATTGACTTGCTTTCGTCCCGGTCTGCCTGGAAGTCAGAATCGGTGTATCCCAACGGAAGCAATTCATCTTCCTGGTAAATCAACATGTACTCCTTAGTCCTTCTCAAGTACTTGAGTATATGCTTTACCGCAGACCAATGTTCCGGTCCTGGGTTACTTTGATATCTTGATACCATGCCTACTGCATAACAGATATCAGGTCGCGTACACAACATGCATACATGAGGCTTCCTACTTCCGATGCATAAGGAACTGCCTTCATGTCCTCTATCTCTTGAGGAGTCTTCGGGGACATCTTCTTAGATAGAGCGATTCCATGTCGAAAGGGCGAATCCCCTTTCTTTGAATCATGCATGTTGAAACGCTTTAGGACAGTATCTATGTATGTAGATTGGGATAGGCACAATTTTCTCTTATCTCGGTCCCGAATGACCTTGATACCGAGAACATGTCCTACTTCTCCCAAATATTTCATGTCAAACTTCTTGGATAATCATACCTTTACGTTTGATAACATTTTCACACCATTTCCAATGAGAAGAATATCATCTACGTATAGCATTAGAAGCACCACCACGTTTCCTTCACTTTTCTTGTACACACAATGCTCATTCGGACATTGGGTAAATCCATACTACTGGACAACCTCATCAAAACGGATGTTCCAAGACCTCGAAAGCCTGCTTTAGTCCATAAATTGACCTTTTCAGCTTATAGACCAGATGCTCTTGTCCCTTTGAAATGAATCCTTCTGGTTGTTGCATATAGATGTCCTCGTCTAAATTCTCGTTAAGGAAAAGTCTTAACATCCATTTGCCAAATTTCATAATCCATATGAGCGGCAACAGCCAAGAGAATCCTGATGGATTTCAGCATAACTACCGGCGAAAAAGTTTCCTCATAATCGATCCCTTCTTTCTGAGTATACCCTTTCGCAACAAGCCTAGCTTTGAAGGTTTCAACCTTCCCATCTGCTCCTTTCTTTCTCTTGTAGACCCACTTGCATCTAATGGCATGCACGCCACTGGGTGGTTCTACAAGATCCCAGACCTGATTGGAATCCATAGAATCCATCTCAGACTTCATCGCCTTTTGCCAAGACTCCGCGTCCCGATCTTGGAGTGCCTCATTGTATGTCCATGGGTCGATTTCAAGAACATTTGGGACGGCCTTAGAAGACTCTCCCAGACCCATGAATCGTTCGAGCTACCGGACAACCCTCCCACTACGACGAGGTACTACCTGCTCAGGTGCATCATCAAAGATACGTGTTACAGTACTTTGTGGTGTAACATCTCGCGCACTTGGTATTGAAGTACTCACTTCCTTTACCTCATCAAGGACATGTCTACTACTGGGCTTGTGATCTAACGCATAGTCTTCTTCCAAGAACCTCGCATTCGTGCTAACGATTACTTTATGGTTCTCGGCACTATAAAATAGACCACCTTTTGTTTCCTTAGGATATCCCACAAATAGCCTTACTTCTGTTCTAGGTTACAACTTATTAGTATCGTTTCTCTGCACATGTGCTGGACTACCCCAAATCCTGAGATGTCTTAGACTGGGCTTGCGCCCAGACCACAACTCCAATGGTGTAGACGGTACTGATTTAGAAGGTACTCTGTTCCAAACATAAACTGCTGTTTCTAGGGCATACCCCCAAAACGAATCGGGTAATGTACTATAACTCATCATTGCCCTAACCATGTCCATAAGAGTCCTATTCCTTCGTTCTGCTATGCCATTCTACTAGGGAGTGCCCGGCACAGTTAGCTGGGACATAATCCCATTATCCATCAAGTAGTCTCTAAATTCATTCGAGAGATATTCGCCACCACGATCAGATCGTAATGACTTGATACTTTTTTCTAACTGCTTCTCCACAACCGCCTTATACTCTAAGAATTTCTCAAAGCATTCAGACTTGCGGTGCAATAGGAAAATTTACCCATACCTCGAGTAGTCATCGATAAACGTAACGAAGTACTCAAAACCACCTCTCGCTTGAATAGACATAGGACCACATAGATCGGAATGAATCAGTCTTAACAGATCTTCGGCTCTATTTCCCTTTGATTTAAAAACTCTTTTAGTCATTTTGCCTTCCAGGCAAGACTCATAAGTTGAAAAAGCCTCGACTTCTAACGACCCCAAGGGCCCGTCTGCTACCAACCTTTGAATCCTCCTAAGGTTTATATGACCAAGTTTTAGATGCCAAAGATATGTTTCATTCATTTTCGAAGGTTCCTTTCTCTTATTCAGATTAGAT